GTAATTCAACTTGTGTGGTTGGTTTTGGTGTTCATGTTTATTGTTGGTCAGTGTCATGGCTCAAGAACCGCCACCCAAGTATTCAAATTCAAACCAAAGTGGTCTGAGAATTCATCAGGCGGCCTCTTCAGGGAGTCCAAGCCCAGAAGGATACCGATACCGGCCTCCGGTCCTTCGCGGAAACACAACAGCTTGGGCTTACAAAGCTCAACTTCTCCTTGAAGTTGATAAATTTTTTTGAACACAGAAGAAGGTGACATATGTATGCATATACATATATGTGAGTCCTTTTTACTTGTTATTATACGTACACAAACAAAGGGTTGTAATTGGCTAGTGTAAATGGACTTCTTCGATCAATTTTTTTGGGGTTTGATGACAAAGTTTGTGTTAGGTTTATGATATAGCCTATAGGTATGTGTTGCTTTTAACCTCCATATATAGTACTGATGGAGTAGCACTGGTTTTAATCCAAATTATTTTGGATGTGCATGAATCAAATGTTAAGCTTGAATTGGCTGCTTTTACTTCTATTTAGTGGTCTTTTTTATTGTTAATTTGGTGTAATACTTGTATATATGTAAAGAAGATAATTTATACATGCAAAAGTTACATTTGTGTATTGCAAGTTTGCAACTCCTGTTTTGAAATATATATATATATCTATATCCACACACACATACACATGTATGTGTATGTTATGTATGTGTTTATATCATTATAAAACAATCCTTTTGATGGGAAGATAAAATCATTTGATTTGAATGTGGATTGATCATGATATATATATATATATATATATATTTACCATTCTTTCGGTAATCCAATGATGTTACCATGCGGTGATAATTTCCATCAATCAACTGTGCCTTGTCATTAATTTCTGGCGAGATGATTTCAATTCATGTGTTGAGTTGGTATTTGCTTGATTTGATACTCACAATGTACAATCATACGATTTACCCAAGTCCATGGTTATAAGGATTTATTATTATTATTATTTTGTTATCAATTATTAAAAGAAGAAGAAAGGACGTTTTTTTTAATCAGAAACAGAAATAGATGTACTTTTTTCCCCCTTTTGTATTGAAGAATTGTCCAATATTATAAATTTATATTTAATAGATTAATATGTTGGTAATCCCGTTTTCATCACCATGACTCTCGCTATATACAAGGGAAGATGGTTATGGGCCGCCGGCCATGGTCTATTAATTAATATTAATATCATTATTTTTATATTAGTACTTTTTCTTTATTAATTGTTGACCTTAACATTTGATACGAGTTTGTTACACCATCACACGATTTAGAAAGTCAACATTAAATTATAATTTTAATGTAGAAAAATAAGTACATAGAATCGCATGGGAGTATATAGACGAAAATGAAATATCATGGCTTTCAAATCAAAAGTTTCTTTCAATCTTATAACTACTAAGAAGAATTGGGCCATTAGTTCAATTAGTATAATTAGGTCGAATACCATATTGAAATTTGTGATGAGTGTGAGTGTTTACCTAATCTGAAAAATAATAATATTATAAGAATGAGATTTCTACAAATCAGGTGACGTGGCACATATATATATATATTTTGTGTGTGCAAGCATGTTTACAAGAAAGGCTAATTATAAATAAAGCGTTCCACTTCTTATTTCGTTTTAAGTTTTCGATCAGAATATCACCGCCCTTAAAATAAATAAAAAAAAAAGATTTTCCATTCATCCAAACATATAATGATGTGGTAACATCTGCAAAGAGCCTCGGAGCAATTATTAAATATGGAGCCACCCTTTTCTTTAGGCTCAGAGATGAGGAAGGAATCCAAGGTTGGCTATGAAGAGAAATTTTCTTTAAAAAGTTAAATTTTAGGGCAACTTCAAAGCAATTGAAAATGACATTTCAACAAAGATGAGGGTATCTATGTCTTTACACTGTTTTCCTAATATTAAATGAACTTAATTGTGATACATGTGATATTTTTTTTTATAAAAAAAAATCCCTTGAAATAATTTCATTTTTTTTTGCCAGTTTCCTTCATTTGGGAAGATTATGACACTATGATATCAATATGAACTTGACCTATCTTGTGTATTGATATTAGTTTGGTAAGAAAAGTCAATATTAAAAAGGGATTTCTTGTTAGCTTGGAGAGGAGAACATAATTTAATGTGTTTTAGTCAAATTCAGGGGGCAAAAAGTCTCCATGCAAATTGAATATGGATGTATAGGAACCGTCCTTTGAAATTTAGGGTGCTCTGCATTAAAAATTGTTTGTTTGAAATGTAGAGGGGTTGTTTGGTTGTCGGTGGAGAACGAAGAAATTAATAATAATAATATTATTATTAATTTTCTCAATAATATAATAATAATACAAACAAAAAGTCAATATAAAATTAATTTTGAAAATCATGTGAGAATCTTAATTTCTTCATTCAATCTGGTTTAAATAAAATTGAAAAGGGTTCTAGATTGAAATTTTGTTAAGTAGTTTATTGATTGAAGACATTATAATATCAGGTGTGACAATTATTGTCCGAGTGATAAAGTGCCCCGACCCTGTAAATCCTGAGTTCGATTCTTACTCCTTCGCCAACTATTAACCATTACTAAAGTAAAAATAAATAAATAAATAAAATAGGTGAAAAAGAAGACGCTACAATACATACTCAATTTGTTCCCCATTATAAACCTAAAAAGTTATATAACAAAGAATCAATCAGATAAAGATTTTGAAATACAATGATTACAATGCACTAGGGATGCTGGGCTCAACATTTGTCTCATGGACAGCGAATGTGGATCAGATAAGCCCAAGAAATAATGTTTCTTTAATCATGTAATATTTTGATACCCTAAAACCCTCCTCGTGGTTACACTTTTTTTTTTTTTTTTTTTTTTTTTTTCTCCTTTGGTTTTTTCTCCTCTTCACAACAAATAATTTTTGTGTTTGGTTCAATCTTTTGAAGGCTGGTTTTAAGATTGAAAATTATTATTTGAAAAGGGAGTTAAGAAAAAAGCCAATTTATATAATAAAAGAATAATGACTTTTGAGCTGAAGACTTAGCCGGACCACAATGCATCCTAGTGGGTCCTACTACAAATACATTGTGCTGGACTTTGGTTATTGGTTGAAAACTCCGGCCCAAATACCATAGCATATAAGGTAAATTATATTGATATTCTTTGAAATTTAGGTAAATTATACACGGTAAATCATTTAGTGTTTATTATTTTGATATTTTCTAAATTTATTTGGTAGTGACGGTGATACTTAGTGTTTATTACTTTGACATTTCCTAAATTTATTTGTTAGTGACGGTGATACAGAGTATAAAAAGCCAAAAACGGTCATTATATTATAACAATATATTACATTGTAATACATAATACTATTATTGTTATTTCATACAAGAGAAGGGTAAAATAATTATTTTATAAAATTTGGTTTATAGGTATGTCTGAAAGAAATTTTTAAAGACATCATTGAACACATGTACCAAATTTTATCAAAGTAACAAACATTAAACGGTCTATTAATTTGTAATTTTCTCAAACTTTAAAAAGAAGGCCAATATAATTTATTTTGGAGAAGAACACTTACTATCAATCTCATTAGATAACTTTAAAGAATAGTGAAATAATATATTTTATGGAGGATGAGTCATTAACTTCGACAGCGTGACAATTAAGCATCTACCCATGAAATGGCAGTAATGTAGTGTCATCCATTCAATAAAAATGGACCTTTTATTTATTTATTAATTTTTATTTTTCAATCATAGAATAACACTAATGAAGAAGATATTCATTGTTTTTATAATGCGAATAATAATTGGGTTCATGTGCTACGATAATGTTAAAACATACCTTTCATGTATTAGCCGTAAATTCAGGGGATAGTGAAATACTCAATCCCACTAACTTTGTTAATCCATTGCTCATATCAACTACCTACTTATTAAAATGGCACTAATGAATGAAGGGTCATATGATTTTTTTAAATGTATCAAATAATTATATATCATTACTTAGAAGGTGGAGGAGTATAATTGTTTTTACAGGCGTGTATTCAATTCTTAATCTACAAATTTTTTTTTTTTAGGTTGATTACAATACTTTTTTACTTGTAATGTAAAGGTTCTTTTTCTCTACATCAATGCCCTATGTACCTTATACAAAAAGCAATAGTGAATTTTCACATGTTTGCTATGGGATATATATATAAATATATATATGTGTGTGTGTGTGTGTGTGTATATGTATGTATGTGTGTGTGTGTGTATATGTATGTATGTGTGTGTGTATATGTATGTATGTGTGTGTATGTATGTATTTTTGTGTGTGTCATGACATCTAACAATAGGAAACATGTCCCTTGATGGTTCCTTAGGTCAACAGTCCTATATCATACGAATGAGCTGACAGCACCGTGTGTCTTTATTTGTGTGTCTTTAGGTTTGGGGAATAAAAGGCTCCAAATCCTCAGATCACTCACTCTGTCAAAAACTTGTATCCTTTCTAATAAATAGTAGCAGCAAATTTCTTTTACAGTTTAAACCACTCGGATTTATTTTGATGATTTCATCAAATTAATAAACCCTAAGTAATTACAAAATTCTTTAAGTTTGAATTAGCTGGGGAACGATTTTTGTTCAACATGTTTTTCTTACTCGATATAGTTCAAAATCTCATATTTTAAAAGCTTTTAAAATTTACAAATTTCTTTCAAATTATTAGCTACATTTTTCTATATAACCCTTGAATTATAAATTACTCAATCTCATAGTTTGCATTCGTGATATCGGTCACGATATCGTTCGAAGTTCGAAGTCGCGGAGTAACAGACCAAAACGAATATCAGTAAAAACTGACTGAACTAACCAGTTCATGGAAATGTGTAACGATATCGGACCCTTGAAAAAATATTACGAATTGACTAATGCGACCAACCATGCTCCATCTATAAATCATACACACGTAATGCTAATCACAAACTAAAGCAAAATTTTGTCTAGCACTGATTACATTATTGTTAAAACATTACAAGCAGGTAATAATGGTATTTACAAAAATAAAAGTCCATACCCCAACCAGACTTTTACCCTAAAGCACCCACATTAGTATAACACCAGTAGTTGCAATCACAGAGCATGGTCATTTGCTACAAAATTGTTTGTTCATAGTAATTCATGAGAAACAAAAATGAAAAATTCAAATAATTACAAGCTCAATTCCTTCGGCAGCAGGGTTTCACTCCACAGCACTTGTTTCCCTGCACTGACAAGTGGATTGTCTGCTCATGAATGTGCACCTGAGCTATACCGTCTCTTGAACTTGATGACCAAGCAGTAGATAATTTTTCTGCGATTTGTGTCGAGAAACCGTTGTCACTGAGGTCCAGCATTTGTAACTGCGTCGCCATGCTAATGGCAGATGAAAGCTCTTGAATAAATTGGAACTCCAAATTTGAAGGACTCCTTTGACATGAGCTTGTGCAGCCATCATCAAAACCGGCTAAGGCAGGCTCTCCCATTGGCTCGTCTTCACTGTCAGCAACTTCTAGTTCATTGCATTCTGTGTTTACAGCACATATTCCTTGTTGGGCAGCCTCAACTTCCTCAGATACAGATATCATTAATGAAGTTTCAGAAGAATGTTGTTTTGTCACCAGGGAGTTTAAGCTCTGTTTAGCTGTTAAGTCATATTGTGAAGTAGGATCTTTGTCCGGTTTGGTATTTCCGGCAAGATAGAGCTCTTCTAGAGTGCTATTATCTGATAATGCTTGAAGTATACGAAGAACTCCGACAAGTCCAAGGCAGCACTTGCTTAGTACCAAAACTTTTAAACAACACTGGGGATTCATGAGTAGTGATGCCAATGCAATGCCACCCTGTGTTCATGCCAAGTCAGCTTTATTAAGCAAAAATAAAAATAAAAATAAAAATAATAATAATTTGAGTATCACAGAAGAACCTAGTTAGTTAGATCTCAGAACGAGAACTCTTTATATAATCAAGATGAATATTAAACAAACAACGAATATTAATGATGAATGAAACTTGACCGCCATAAGCAGCACCTTCATGAGTTGAACAAATAAGAACTCGTTTGATTATTAGAGAGTATAGCAACTAAAGGGGCATATATCGAGAAGGTTAAAAAGCTATGCACTCTCCCTGTGAGCTTACACCACCATTGGATCAAGAGGCTCATCCTCACAGCCTCTGCCTAATGATTGAGGTCACAAGCTCACGGTGAGAGTTCGCTCACGATAAACTGTAAATCAAGAATTACATTATTCACTTTGCAATCGGGCACCATAAAAAAATTACTTGACAAAGAGAACAACCAGAAGAACATATGTAATGAATGTATGAATAGGCAAATATCTTAAGTACCATATCTGTCCAATTAATTAAGACAAACAAACCTCTTCCGTCAGGGGATTTCCTCCAAGGTTCAATTCAAGAATACCACCAATCAACGAAATTTCAGCATTGAGTCTGCCAATGTATTCTGATGTTAGTCCACAATATGACAGGTCAAGTTTCACCAATTCCTGATTCCCACTGAACAATGAGTCGGTTAATTTTAATGCTCCATCCTGACAAAAACATTACAGTTGAAATAGGAAGGTTAAAAAAATAAATAAATAAAAAGAGGCTAGCACAACACTAGTGAATGAGATGATATAGGTCTTAAAACAACCACATACGGTTCCAATGCTGGTATCCACAAGCATCAATCCTGACAGGCATGAGGTTCTTGCAAGTTGGCAAAGGCTATCGACTGCAGGCTTGCTTAGCTTTAAACCATTCAGATTTAGTTCTGAAAATCTATACACAACCAAAACTTAAAAACTTTATGTCTATCCAATGAAAGCATCTTGTTAAACAAACATAAGGAAAAGCACAAATAAAATTTAAAATCGCTGTTGACCTCTTTAAACCGGTGAGCTTGGCTAATAGATTTATTATGGCATTTCCAGATATAGGGTGGTTATATCCTGTTGAAAAGGGCAAGAAACTGTCAGATAACAAATAAGGAATAGTCTCTATCGTCAATTTATTTACCGAGTATACCTAGACAAATTTGTGCAAGTACAGATTCGGAATTCAGTGCATCGGCAATCTTATGAATTGTTCTTGAGGTGACAGAACAGCGCTCTATATTTAAGCTATAAAGGGCTACAAAACAAAGAGCAGCAGTAAGCAGAAGAAATAAATAGATATCTGGCAAGGTCCATGAGCAAAAATAATTAAGCTCAACTAGTAACATGAAACTAAATCAATATTAGATACACAATGCATCAAATGAAGGGGGGAATTGAGTTCAATTGTTTTATTATAAATCATATTTTTGCAGGGATACTGAAACTGACAAAATTTCAAATGTAGAAGCAGGAAAAGGAGTTTGCCTCTGCAATTTTCGAGAATAGTTGAAAGGTAAGATCCACATGCATCAGTCAAACGGTTCCCAGAGATATTGAGCACTTCCAATCGAGCAAATAGCACAGGGCATTCACAAATCTGTTAATAAGGAAGGCAGGAAAATAAATAAATGAAGCGGATTGAAAACAATGTCAAGTTGTTGCGATTGTGAAAATAAATTTAACTGTAATGCAAGAATAAGAAAATTCTGTGCCCTCCCCTAAGCATTAGTTTATAGGAGTTGATTTAGCATGCTAACACAGGTTTAAATTTAAATAATTCCGACTCATGAGATAGTATTGCCTGTATCTAGATATATCCAAGTATTGTAATGGACTTGTATTCCAGTCTGTCTGCACCTCACCCAAGGAGGACTATAACGCGGTCACATCCAAGTGGTGAACCTTCTGCTAGAATCATAAAAATGCCGACATATATACATGTTTGTATATTTATAAAGATGGATCAGTTCCTAAATGAGATGGACATTTTTATTGGAAAGAAGTTTTCTATCATACGCCAAATGGGCTCAAAGATTTTGTTGTTCTTTGTTTCTCCAAATATATATGTAAACAGGTTCAAACAAGATGTTCTGAGCATACGAAAGTGAAAAGTGTTACAAACCTGGAATAAAGCAGTTGGACCAAAGCGGTTGCAGTGCAAATCCAAAGCCAAACCACCATATCTTTGACACGAAGATGTAAAAACTTGTTTAAGTTTCTCCATGGTTCTATTTCCTGGGAGATAGTGAACAAGTGGATAATTAATGCAGCTTAAATAAATTGCGGCACAACTCAGCGTTTTAGAGAAATGCAAGAATACTAAAGGAAGCTAATAAGATAACTGAAATTTAATTGAAAACGGCGACCCGTGAATTACTAAGCATTCTACTGCTGGATGTAAAATAGAATAATTGGGTTGTCTTTTTTATCCAGAGCCAACGCAAGAGAATCAAAATAAATATGAGCCAGAAATCTGATATCAATACCTAACAAATTGTGAGAAATGTCTAATAGGGCGACTGTCTTGTGAGCATGCAACGCATTCAATAGTGGTGTTACTGATATATCTTGCAATTCACACTCAGACACAACAACTTCATCTTCTGAAACCTGGTAAATAATTAATAAAAGACAAGTAAATAAAACATCTTAACTCCCGTATAAGATTATATCTATTTGTCAGAGGTTGTATAAACTCTGACAACCCTGCCTGAAAAAGGTCAAAAAATAGATAACAGAAGTATCTGCAACACTAGACACCCGCAAATCTTCCATTCTTACCTCTAAATTGTACAACTTTTTAAGCAATTTCAGGTCCGGTGACTCAAATAATTCCTTACAGCAGTCAATATACAATTTCATCAAAGGCTTTTGCACCCATCCTGAAAAGATAACCAGAAAGATTGAATGCATCATCAGAAGGAAGAAACTTATAAGAAAAAATCAAAATGAAGAAAAACTAAAGCCAAACTATCATACTGAGCCTGCAGGTTCTTGCTCCTATATAAGGTACATATGCAGTCTAGAGATCTTCAGTATGCTCTATAATTTAAGCAGACTACTCAACAGCTTGGAACATCAATTCAAGTCTATGGGCTCAAATAAAATGGGTTTCCTGCTATCTAATATCTTCTTAAAGGCTTTCAGAAAATTAGTTCCCTGGAGCAAGCGGCTTGACTTATTATTGTAATTAATCAACACCAGTGAATAAAGAACTGCAAATACAATTTTTTAAACAAATCTTCAGCTTAATTGATGCTAACAACTTTAAGCCACTAGACAAGAAGAATACGCTAATCCTTCTCAAACCACAACAAAAAGGGACTTCTCCTTATCTTGAATAATACTTTCACTCTATTAATCAAAAAGAAAACCAGCATCTGCCAAAGATGCTGGAAAAAATCTGTTTAAAAAATGCTTTAAACAAGGCCACAGATTCAATAAGTTGGTGTATCATTGCTGCTTTGTGAATACTGAATAGTACAGAACTGGAAACTTTTCTTCTATAGTAATACTCCCCTGAAGATAATAATGTGATTTGGTTCCCGACCCATCTAGGGGGGTTGATGGATTCACATCCTCTAGCATAAACTTTGACTGTCAAAAGTTATCACTAGGCTGCTGCATTAGACAGAATACTGAGCTTCTAATGTACTAAGAAGCATGTTCTAAGGCTGATATAGTTGGGATGAGGCACCACATTGTTATTCTTCAAGAAGTAATCAAGAAGATTTGAGAGAGAGAGAAGGGGGGGGGGGGGGGGGGGTTAATGAGTTCATTTAAAATGAAGCAGTAAAGAGTACACACCATCTATAGAAACTTCAATCCAGCCTTTTTCCCGTAAGTGATCCTTAAGAGTATCAACTGCTCCCAGGGAGTCAAGAGCTCTGTCACCACATTTCAAGTGTCCAATGATGGGCAACAAGCCTAATGAGACGAGTCAATGCATGTCAGAAACCACCAGTGCTTTCCAAGAGTATATACAAGTAGTGAAAGAAATGACTGTGCAACAACGTTATAAAGCTGATGAAACATTCAAAGTTCAAACAGCCAAGTTATTGTTCTGGAAAGAAACAACAGCAGCATACCATAGGGATATAAGGAGAAAAAAATTGCATTAGCCACATTTCTATAACAAATTTGCTGTATCTACTGACTGGATAGCAAAACTGGTAGATTTGCCTATGAATGCAAGTTAAGCATGGCATTTATGGCGGCTAACTGTTTGTGGCTAAGATAGCCATCTTAGTCATCTCCACACCAAAATTATCTTAATTTGACATCAAGCATCATGGCTGTCAGACGGAGCATTTTTGTGCCAAATAATCATAGCGAGACTATACATCCTTCAGCAACTACTACTGTAAACCAAACCAAAAGAGAAGGCCTCAACCAGTAACTGAATCCAAATCCAAGGAAATGGGGATACATTAAATAGACACGGTGTTTAATACTCTCTCCGTCCCACAATCGCATCCATTTTTCCATTTTTTGTTGTCCCATAATTCATTTCCCAGTTGAAAAGTCATTGTCGAAAGATTGTGTCATTCTCAAAATTTCCCTAAATTTTGAAAACTTTCCCACTTTAACAAAGTGAAAGTTTAAGCGTCAAATGGGTAGTTTTGGAATTTCATGCATGTTCCCTTAAAAAATTGGAATCCCGGAAAGGTACAACTAAAGCATGTCCCTTAAAAAGTTGGAATTCCGAAAAGTGACGAGAATTTTGGGACAAAGGAAGAACTATTTGTCCCCTGATTTGAAATATTGTGTATGTAACAGATTATATTCGATTTGGGTGCATTGTCATTTTGAAGTATCCATAAAGGATGAATATTCGGAAAGTATCACATGACACATACACACATTTTTAATATATATTCCTGCCTATTGCCGTAGATGCTTGTTGGTTAAAGTCCAATGATAACCAAGGCCATTATCCAATGTTGTACCAGTTAATCGAGGGGGTTAGGAAGGGCGGATTGAGTACAAATCTCACTTATGACATTATTTGCACAAAGTGACTTTGAAGGCCAAGCTTTCATCTCTAATAATAAGCATGTAAGATATTTTCTCTCAAACAGGCCAAGCTTTCATCTCTAATAACAGCCTTTTCCTTGGCTGTTGGTATTAGCATGTCTCTGACTGAATCATTATGGCAGCACCATACTTGTAGCAGTGAATCAAAACCCTTACTGTTTAAGGCATTGCTCAAAATCTTAATGAATGAAGCTAATTTTGTCTAAAAAGATAGTCAGCTAATAAAATTTTAACTATGTGAATCTCCAATTTGCTAATCTCATAGAAAATGCAAAGATTTTTAAAAGCTAGCAAACAGAAACATAAAAACCTCAAAACCTGAAAATTAGTTCGCACCCCTTGATCTCTTCTCTATAGGCAATTGTAAATAGTATATGCATGCCACTTCAACCTTCAAGCATTCTATACTCAGTTTATCACCAGCCATACACGAGGCAAGCTTCACTTGTATAAGATCTCCATCAATTTGGAATTTTATATGTTGCTGCAATGATCACAAATACGAATGGTTACCAAATATGAAGAAAATAATGATAAAAAAAATATTAATAATGACAACATAATGTAACATAATGATAAAAAATAATGTAACATAATGGTTACCAAATATGAAGAAGAAAATAATGATAAAAAATATTAATAATAACAACATAATGTAACATAAGAACAGTATATGAATCACAAACAGTGCCAATGATAAGAGAATCATGCATAAGCAATGCTATCAATATGTTACAAATCATGACAAGCAGAACATATGTTGGTCTGCGGCATTCGCCCTCAAAACATGATGTAACTAACTCAGTGCAGTTCTTTAAATCAAAATCAAGCCTGAAGTGCATCAAAACCATCGATTGAAGTGATGGCAAATGACCCTTATTGATACTGTTTGGTGGCCAATCAAAGCAGCTTAAGAATATTTATAATTTAATTAATAGTAATGATTACAACAGTAATTATTTGGTTGTAAATAATCTTAATTAATTAACACATTCATCACCCAAACCTTGAAAACTAGACTACCATATGTGTACTTATATACCAGGTTTTCAGAGGCATCATTTCCACCAATAGAATTGTTTAAGTGAAAATTGGAAGTATCGACAATTTCATTGGTGCTTGAAGATTTGACATCCTTGACATTTTGACCAGCAACTTTAGGACTACTGGATTTGTAGGAACAAGTGCTTTCTTCAAGATTAACTGGAGTGGAAGCACTGATGGCACATTTAGAGGCCACTGATGAGACATCCTGCCAAACCAAAAAATCAAGCACTTAGCCACCAACCACACCACAATAACAACGCAATTGGAGATTAGTCCAAATATTTTATACCTTGATTGCACGAGCAGTGCCAGACAGATCATTTCTACTCTTAACTGCAATCAAGCAAAGAACTATCTCAGTGCACAGCTTTGCAAATTAAACAAGCGCTATGCTTAAATACTTAATGTTAAGGCTCACGTTCATCAGAAGTGGCAACATCTTCTGCTGGACATTTAGGAAGCCTTCCTATCAAACCCTCTGCCTCATCTTGTATTTCACCTTCATCATCTGAAAGGATTACACGGACACGTTTACGACCAACTGTTTGCTGACTACCAAAAGAAATGGACATGCTTTTGGATGAAGCCTCTGTAGGATGGCCATACGCAATGGGTCTTTCTACTTGAGAAGTTTTAATTTTGGATGAATTTCTATGAGAACGAAGAAGTGATATCAAAGGTGCATCATCCTTAAATTCTTCTAAACTCGTGCCGGATTTTGCTTTGGTAGAATTAGATTTACTTTTCATTGACGAACAGCTCACTTCTGAAATACTATTTGATGATTGATCATCCCCTTCAGTATTTGTTTCAGAGCAGCAATCTCCGGCCATAGTTTGTACTTCAAGCTCTCTAGACTTTGACTGCTTCAATTTGTCTATCAACAATTGCAACCTCCTACATTATTTCACCAACAATAGAATGCATACTTCAAAAGTTGGGAAAAAATTCTCCTTGAATTTAAACCACTTCTATAGTGAACAGAGTCCGACATGTAAAGGAGAAACCATCATCTGGGTGACTTAATTCTAAAAACCTGCCCAAAGGGAAAGCACCTCCAATAATCAAATTTACCTGGCCTCTTCAACATTTTCAAATCTTATCATATTGCTGTAGTGCATATTCTCTAGCGCAGATAGCTGTACAGAAGGGACGTTCGCTTTAACAGCAATCCTGCAACACAGAATAACATCGGCACAGATCAACATGACATAGAGTTAGCAATTATTTGTTAACAATGGAGCATTGTGCAGCACAAATGATTCAGACAAAGGAGCTTCTAGTCACCACTCGAATAATTTCTACAACTTATGTCAGTAACATTTTGCAAGGAGCTCTTTGGTTTATTTATTATTCTTTTTTATTTTTTTTATCTTTTACTCTTTAAGCAGTCCTTGCAATGACCAACATGGCATTCGACATTACCTTAGGGCTGTTTACAATTTCCTATGAAATACTAGAAGTGACTTTGTTCAAGATAGAATCTCAGGGTTCATAATTGAATCGAAAAAATAAAATTAGAACATGCTAATTGCACTATTTTTAAGGCTCTTCGTAGGGAAAAAGAACAGAGAGAGGGAGACAGGCAGAGGGAGAGAGGATAGTACAAAATGATTGAGAATATTTATACATCCCTAGCACCATTAAAGTTTCCCTTTGATGTCTGATGCAGCTGATGCCACAGCAGTAACATCAAGATAACCCCATGAAAAAAAGATCACCAAATACATTTCATACTGAACTCTAGTGGCACATAAAAGGCATTCCTCCTTCCAAAATGACTCAAATATTTTCTAAATTTCACATGAGCAACACCGATAAGAAAGAGTACAAATTTCCAAGGAAAGAGATATTGCCTGTAACCCTCTTGAAATGCCTCTAAAGCCCCAGTCCAGTTACCACCAGAATCCAAAACATCTCCAATGTTAATCTTCACTAATGCTTGCCCCTGAAATCACTACCGTTTCAAATAAGAAATCATCGAGAACAAAAATAAATTAATAAATAAAAAATAAAGTATAGATATCATGGACAAGCCAGCAATGCATAATTAAGGTGTAAAAGGAACATTTTTTAGCAATGTCATCTTGGAGTTTCAAGCAGTTTAAACTAAGTGAGTAGTCTGATTGCAAGGCCATCAGCAGACCTGATTTTCATAAATATATCAAATTTTAGATTTATATTACCTTTTCCATTTAAAGCAAAGTAATATAGTATACAATATCTTAGTAGATAATAGGATGCAGATTGGACTTACCTCCAAGTTGCCGATCGATTTGTAGGTTTCCCAACATTTTGTGTACCATTTAAGGGCTTTGTTGAATTTCCTGAGCTTTTGATACGATTCTCCAATGACTAGATATGAATCACTCAGTTTTTCTTTATCACAAAGTTCACTCGCTATTCTCTTCTTCCTTTTGGCAAATTCATGGTGCTGAAAATTTTCAAAATATGAAATGATGCAACTTTAAACCATGAGAGAGGGGGAGAAAAGCAACACTGATCCATGTCACTAATGACTGTCAAATGCCTCATAAATGTATCAGACAAAGTAACTATGGTATTTCCTTATTTATCTTTGTAGGCTGTAGAAATATCAAATATGTTATCTAGACTTATGTGCATATGTTGGATGTCCCTTAGGGCATGGGGCATGGTTGGATTGATAAAATTACAAATTTTCTTCATTTATACCATGGGGAAAGGAGCTGCTTTTAGAAAACATAGGATTTACTGCCCCCAAGTATTAAATGTGAAAAAGGGACTAATCAAGATAGAATTTATAGAAATTCTAATAAATAAGGGATTTATTTCTCCCTTTATTACTAGAAATTCATATAAACATTGTGTCAGAAATGACGTCGGTTTTTCACTCACTTTCAAGTGCCAATTTAACAAGCACTAAAGCTTAATTACCCACTGTGGTCATATTAATCGAGGAAGCTGGGAGGGGTACACTGGCTACAAACCTAACCTTTGGCATCATTTGCATAAAGTGGCTGCCAAAGTAACTACACTAGCCGCATAAAATACAATACTTCTTATTCGCAATATGAACAATGTAATGAACAATTTTACTTCAAGAAAAATATTACAATGGATTAACTCTTCAAATGAGCAAAATTCCCTCCCTAGATATATTTAAGACTCCAACACTCCACTGATTCATGTATATCTCTCCTACTGATACATGTTAATAAAATTTCACATATAGCCAAATCCAACTTGGCAGCAATCTCAAAATAGTGAAACAAAATTCTCCACAGGCTACTAGATAATAGCATATTTAACTAATGCTACAATAAACAGTGAAAGGGCTGGCTCCTGTTCTGTGAAGCCTTCCATTATTATCAAATCAAAATCACTTCTTCTTCTTTGCAATGGAACATCACAAAAAGATCAGAATCCAACATTTAAGATGTTCAGCTTTCAGCAATTCATCTTCAATTATTTCAACCATCAGTTCTAATCATTTTCCTAAAGGTTCATCACTCTGAGTGATTCTGAGGGAATAAAAGAATCAATCTAACGGTTTGCAGTTAAATTTCTTAACCATAACCATGCAAAGATTTTGTGTAGAGATCATGATTTCCCTCCTCAACACACTTAGATCCATGTAACACAAGTTTTCTTCATAGAGAAAGGAAAAAAGATAATAAGGAAAACAAGTTTCACAACATTCACATTTGAAAATAATAACAAATGTGTAAAATACATATTGAAATATTAACTGCAATCAAGGACGAGTGTCTATGCGTTTGCAAGTTTGTGTTTATCAAACAAAAATAAATAAATAAATCAAGAGTCAAGACTTTAAAATTAGAAGCTAACTATTTCTATGCAGTTAAGACGGTTTCCATTAGCTTATTGATATAGCTTTCGCATTCTATATTTTTCTTTGAGAAGTTATTAGACTTGCATTTTCTTGGGACAAACATTAAGTTTATGTGTAGAGCAGACATTTTTTTTTTTTTTCCTGAAGCTGTAAATCATTCCTACACAAAGGTAAGTGAAAGTGAATGGGGTGCATTGTTAATTTGAGTTGGAGAATATAGACGGAACATGGGTAAACATGGAGAACAAAGAAGCCTGCTATACAACTGTAAGGAGCTTTGGTCAATTAGTTATATGAAATTTACAGATCTTTTTTTTTTCTTTGTAAAATGAGAGTGACTAATCTATGTTCGAGGGATTCATTTACTCAAAATTGTGGAAGTTGAATAACTATTGCCAGCACTCTAGTCTCTACTGATTACCACCCTTTCTGCAATCCAGATGAACCATAAACTGAACAATGAACTAAATCTGATGCCATGCACTCAAACAAGAGAAAAACCTTTTCAATTAAAGACTCGTGAAGTTTTCTTTCAGTAAGTACTAAATATTGAAGAAGTTTTCTCTATATTGATAAGAAATTCAGCAATTGAGCAAATTAAAAGCAAAGAAATTGTTAGGGCATAGAAAATATACTTTTATCCATGCAAAGATCATGCCTGATTTCTCAATGAGACAGTCAAGAGATGCATTTTGCTGCAGCAGACATTTCCTTTCACCTGGTGTACCTCTAGCCGTGGCCATATTTCTTGCAAGTTTCTTCAGATTCTGCTCTTCTTTCTTTAAATCATCCAATACCTTGATTGCTTCTCTTACAATTACAATATTCTGTTCAATTTGAGTAGCCAAAGCATCCTCATCTTCCATTGATTTTGCCATATCAAGTGCCTTGTGATAGCAACGAATGGCCTCATCATATTTCTGAACCCTGTAATGCAATTCACCAAGGTTGATGTATCCCTTTGCCTCTCCTTGGCAATGGCCAATATTCTTACAAATCTTGATGTCCTTCTTAATGTGCTCTAGAGCTTTTTCCCACTTTCTCTGCTCCATGAAGACATTTCCAAGGTTGTGATGAAGCCTGCTACGTGAATCATCATCTTCAAGTACCTCTTCTTCATCACAAATCTCTAATCCTTTGGTAAGAATTTGCTCAGCTGCTTCCAAGTTATCAAGATCCATTTCAAGCATTCCAATGTTATTATGGGCATCAATGTATTCCTTGAGAAAAGAAGTTCTATTAGATGGTGGGTTTTCTTTGAGAGCCTGAGCAAGTTTCATGGCCGATTTGAAATACTTTTTGGCATTTCGGACTGAGTAATGATCATCATCAGATCTTAGAAACATTTCGTGGTAAGTTCGACCAAGTTGGGTGCTGGCTCTTTGTTGCTCAACAAGGTCATCGCTGTCCACAGCAAGCTCTAAATGCTTTTTCTGGAATAAAAACATTGAGGAAAAGAATTAAGAATTAAAAAGCAGAAAATGAAAACTTGATGAAAGTGGTATGTACTAGGAATTTAAATCAAGCCAAAAAATCTTTAGCATTTTTTAAAGAACAATTGTTGCAAGAAGAAACATACAGATGAATCTAACAAGCATTGGAAATTTTCCTCCAAAGTAGAAATTGGGCTTGCCAAAAAAAGAAAGAAAGGAAAAGTGTGCAAGTGTGTCACCACACAACGGCTCAGTTTTTTCAAGTCCAGATTGTTTACAACCAAATAAAATGTAATTTTATCATCTAAATAAGGCAAAACAACAATATCATAGTGGAAGATCAAAGAATATTCAGAAGACCACCTTGTAAATGGGGGTTTTTACTTTCCACACACACTTTTATTAGTCATGTTTATGAGGCTAATATTAACAATATGAGAGTCATACATAAGCTGTACATATTATACCCATTTTCGGGTTCTGGAGAAAAGTTTCAAAAGCCTATCTATCAATTTTCATTCCAAGGTTCAACTGATGTACACCAAAAGAAACTAACTAAATAAAGGAAACTTCAAATGGGTACGTGAAACAACCAACTAATTCTCTATTGGGTTGCTAAAATATGCAGTAAAACAAAATATATCAGAGTTTTGAGTCCAAATAGAAATGAATTTTACAATTTTCTCTCTAAAAATCAACACAACTCGAACTTCAATTTTATTTTCTTTTTCTAAACTTGACAATCAGACACAGTACCTGACAAATCAGGGCCTCTTTAAAGTGCTCGAGACGGAGATGGACTTCCCCTAGAGATTGACAAGTCGGAAGGAGGTGCTTCTCCGGAAGGTGTTTGACAGAGACATCGTAATCGATTCGGAGCCATTTCAGGGCCTCGACGTACTCTCCTCTGTTCTTCAGAATGTCACCTACCACGTTCGCCCACCTTGCCTCTTCCCGCCGGTTGCCCTCCTCCGCGGCGTTCCGGTATGCCCGCTTTGCGGTCTTTAGCTGAGCATCGTCTTTCGCCATGTTTGGCTGTGAAGAAGATGAATCAGATCTAGGGTTTTGGTTTGGGAATTTGGAGGGTTTTTTAGGGTCACTTTTCTGATTTTTCTCGCGGTTTTGTATTTGTGATTTGTTTAAAATACCAAATGAAATTCCCGCCAAATCCTTTTATGGGCTTGGTTTGGACTTTTATATGTCATGTTTAGCCCAGTGGATGGAGCCGATGGACCCTTTGGTTCACTTGAGAAACGAGGCCACGAGGGTCCTTGGGTTATTTTTACATCGGCAAATTAGTTTTGTTTTTATCCTTTTCTTTTTTCTTTTTCTTTTTTAAATTTTCCAGGGAAATAATTTAAAATCTTTTAGTTTTACAATTAAACTCTAAGAATTAAAACGATTAATTTATTATAAAAAAAAGAATTTTAAATCATGATCATTATTAGGTGTTGTAGATTATTCTAAATTATGATTTTTGTAATAAAGAAAATTTATGAAGTGATCCTACAATATTGTTATTTCCTGAAAATAGATAATATATATTTTTTCATTGTTTTACCATCCTTCGGAAATAAATTTTTAAAAGTTCCCAAATGGATGTTTGTTTTGTTAACTTGGAGAATATAATAGATTTTAGTACTAATATAATAAAACTTTGGAGTGCTTCTTGATAAGAATCCTTCTTTGTTCAATTGCAGAGAGAATTGCTAGATACAATCAAATGCCGTATAGGCATACAATGGTACTTTTATGTTCTCTTTATTTTATGTAACGCTAAGCACTGCCTATATTGTGAATTTGTAATCACTCTGACTCTTCGTCATTTTCCTCTCTTAAATCTATATGAATGGAATCTATAACGTGAATTCTCTCTTGAAACCCTATTTGTTAATTTAAGAATTTTAGGTTTTAGTAATGAAGAGGAAAAAAATGAAGCCAACTAAATCACGGTTGCATGTAAAATGCTTTTAAAGAAAATAAAGTAATTTGTAATACCTCAAAATGAATTGTGAATGTCTTTTCACTACCAAATCTTACTTCTAGTTAAAAAAACAAATAAGTTCAAAAATCTTTCTCCAAGACTAATGGGTCTTACTTCGTTTTAAATTATCCTTATATTGTAAAAAAATAAAAATAAATTATTATATATATAAATTTAATGTAAGGAAAAATTTATCATTCATTAATTGGGTAAAGGTGGAATTTTTTTTCTTATAAAGTGTATATAAATCAATGTATTTTAAAATTTTATAACAAACTGTCCCGTGGTCATCAACTTTGATCAATTATTTTTTTTTATAAAATGTCGAAATACTTGTAAGAAAATTTTAGATATTTTATTTTTTATTATTCATAAATAATTTTTTTTTATTATTCATAAATAAAAAATTAAAATAAATAAATAAATAAAATACATAACAAGGCGCCAACCACATTCCCACTAAAAAGCCACTGGCTTGACCCCGGTCGTATAGCGCGTGTTTTCTTCTACAGCGCCTCACCAACTTTGCATTCAGGACACGCCAATTTCTTGGTCGCCAAGTGGACTCTACTTTCGTTTGTGGCTGTGATCTGGTCTTTCTATAAAGCATCTCCAATTGGTATAATATTTTCTTTAATTATTAAATTTTAACGCATAGAGAAATTTGACAATTAACTTAAAAAAATTATATTTTTTATCTTTTTTTTTTAAGAGCCCTTAAAATTTTTTTTTATATATATTATAACTTATCCAAATATTTTATTTTCTTATATTATTAAATTTTAACAAATACAAAATTTAACAGTGAGCCCAAAATATTTTTATCCTTGTATTATTATTATTATTATTATTATTATTATTATTATTTTGCTCTCTCTCATCCTCATTACATCACCATATATACACACACTGAATATTATATATATATTTAAGTGAAAATTGGTGAAACTTTCTATATTTTTTTAAGACTCCTACTAACTTTTATTTTCTCTTTTTTTCTTACTCCTTATATATTTTTCTCCTCTCTCATTATAAGTGTTTTTTTTTTTTTTTTTTCATCTTCTCCACTATTACAATTTACAATCTCACAATCTCACTCTGAAGATTTTGAATACACTTATATTTTATTAAAGAATTTATTGGAGCATTAGACCAAATTATTTGAAATCAGTTTCTATTATTCTATAACTTAAATTAGTTTATAGTTTTATTAATTTTTGTTATCATAAAATTATATATTTTGTTTATAATTTTTATTTATATTGTTAAATGTGACTATTAGAAAGCATATAGCTAATTAATTAACAATGGAACTAAACTTTGAAAAAAATTTAGTAATAGATTTAAAAATCACTAAACAAATAATTATCATATTACTGACATAAATATATGGATAAATTTAATTAAAATATGACTTTATTATTTTTTTCGGTCTAAAGCGTCAGCCGTCCCTGTTCACCACTAAATATCTAAGCTAGAGGGGGTTGGGTGAAGCAATAAGTCTTTACTTCGAGGAAGGAAATCACATAAAGTTTAGCTTGTGGCTGTGATTTGGTCTTTCTCATCAGGTTACAACTTGGTGCATGTACAATAAATACAGCATTAATGATTTGCAGACGGTTTCCTGAACTACAAATTCGTATGAGTTGAATTATGTGATCATAATTTATAACTACAAAGAGACTCCTTAAAAAAACAGAAGAAGGATGTTAATCACAGTCGCTCCCGCAACTGTAGAATCTCAGTCGTTAGTTGAGGGGTTGACGCGTGTATTTTCTTTCTCAATAATTAATTACTATTTTTCTGCTAATTTCCTTTTGGGTCTCTTATTATATATAATTATTATACTAGCCCCCTAACTAAGAAACTTCATAAACCTCCACAATTTCATCTCTTTAAAATTTTATTTTTTACAAAATTCCATATATGTTTGAAGTTCCAATACTAAAATTTTCTTTTTTACAAAAGTACATAATGTTTGAAGTTCAAATCTGAATTTTTTCAGATCCGTATTCTTTGTATTCGAAGTATTGCTCTGATTTTTCAGATTAAAAAAATAAAATAAAAAATTTATCATAAAATAAAAAGAAAAAAGTACTATATTTTTTTCAGATTATACTTTCTTTTTTTTTTATTTGATTTTTTTTTTATTTGAAAAATAACCGAAATACTTCGAAACATAGAATAATGATCTGATAGTACTTTTTTTACTGATTTTTTTATTTTTTTAATCTGAAACCTCCACGGTTCCATCTCACTTTAAAATTTTATTTTAATAAAAAAATTTCACTGATTTATATATATATATCTTGTTTATTCAATGATTTATGTGGTTTAATGCTTCCAATTGATCATTGCATTCTATCCATATGTCTATGTATGCTAGAATAAATATTCATGTGTTTGTCTCTATTTCTTATGTTATTGACGCATGTCTATGTGTATTAATGCTTGATGAGCGCTGAAAAATGCGTATTTAAACCCCTAAGCTTAGGCATTCTAATACCTTTATCTATCTTATTTTACCGTTTTAGATTGATTTCGTATTATTTCCATTTTCAGGCACTTATCCTAAAAATAAGTTAACTCAGCCAAATAAGAGCAGAAATGAAGCAATTCTGGGATGAATCAAAGAAATGAGCCAAGTGGAAGCAAAAGAAAGAAAAATGTGGAAATCAACATCTTTGATCGATCTCAGATCAAAGTTTGATCAATCCAACACGATCGATCTCAGCACTTCAAGATGGATCAGAGCTATAGTGACATTTTCAGAGATCTCAAAAGTTCGATCGATCCAACATCATTCTTCGATCGATCGAACTACTTTGTCTTTGTCCAAATGATTGATCTTATCTCGTTATACCACCCTACCAACTACTTTTGTCCTTTTCCTAAAAATATCTTCAAAATATCTCAAATTTGTCTTCATCCAAAAAGAGCCGCCATTGAGGATCGATCCAACTTCAGTTCGATAGATCTCAGCCATGTTCGATCGATCCAAGTCCAAGGTTCGATCGATCGAACTTCCTCCAATGCGAAAAAGTTAAATCTCCAGCTCACAAAAAGTTGTCCTTTATCCAATTATTGGGGAATATTTTGTGCACGACCCCAGCTCATTTTGTGTGTCATTTGACCTACCTATATAAAGATAAGGATTACTTTTTACATCATATCACCTCATATCACATCATATCATCTCATACCTTGTAAGAACTCTTGGAGAGCAAGCTTAGAGGAGGAGGAGGCTAGAGACACCATTGGAGACTCTTCATCAACCAAGGAGTAAATATTTACCATGGAGTTAGCCCTTGAGGGTTGGAGAAGCACTACCATGAGTGGCTAAACATCCTCTTGGGACTAGAGTTAGCCCCAAGCATGCTTTCTACATCTTGATTTTGTCTATTATTGAGGGATTGGTGTTGTAATACATGTTTTGGCACTTTTATATATAGATCTTGTTTATTCAATGATTTATGTAGTTTAATGCTTCCAATTGATCATTTCATTCTATCCATATGTCTATGTATGCTAGAATAGTGTTCATGTGTTTGTCTCTATTTCTTGTGTTATTGATGCATGTCTATGTGTATTAATGGTATAGATCTAGAGATTGTCAAAACATAGTGCTTAAAGGAATGCTCTTGTAATTTTCTAGATGGTTCATGCTCATTTCTTGATGGATTGTGCCTCTCCCTTAGCTTAATTAGTTTAATTTCATGTCATTAGCTTAACTGTAGTGTAGTGGTAGCATAGTTGTTAGATGGGAGGACAATCCATACTTGTTGTTTGATGTTCCATACTTTTGAATGCAAGTAGCATATGTCTCTAACCTTGTGGTGTATTTGGCTTGTGAGTTTAATGAAAGAATTAATGACTTACTAGATATGTTGTGCTTTTCACATACTATTTAGACAATATATACTTAATTGCTAGATATATTATATTTTTCACGTGTTAATTGACACTGTTTGCTTAATTGGTCACCCTTGCTAATTGAATCAACCAAACACACACACACACATCAATATTGCAACATATATTTCCCTCATTAGTTACTAGTTAAGGGTGTAGAAAAGCATTATTTGGTGGTGACCTCTAAACCCCAAGATCTCTCTCTCTTACTTACTCCTTATTGCATTCAATTATTTAGTTTAATTTGCTCTTTAGTTTAATCAACCAACCAACTATTTGTTTGATCACTCGACCTACTAACCCTAATTGTGATTCCACAAGCTAGTACGACTCCAATCTCTTGGGACGGTCCCTACTCACTCTTGCTACGTTAGTAGTAGTGGTTGTAGTGGTTTCATAAATTTAAACTTGACTTAAAGGCTTTTCTTGAACCGCACATTCACTACATTATTTTGGCGTATATCAAACGGCTTTAATCGTCAAATTTTGGCGCCGTTGCCGGGGATTAGGCAACGTCGTATTTGTGGAATTCATTAGGAATTAGTACTCTTTTGATCGTGTCTTTACTTTGTTTTTATTTTCTTTT